ACTCAGCTGTCCCCTCTGTCCCCCCTGTGTCTGGCCTTCTCACACACATCCCCTCCATGCCCCTTGTCCCATCTGTCCCTCGCATTCCTCCCCTCAGTCCCCTTCGCAGCCCTCCCCTCCATCCCCCTTCCCCACCCTGTGTCCCCCCATACGTACTGTCCATCCCTCCAGGCCCCCACGTGCCCCACGTCCCCTCTGTCCCACCAGCCTCTTGGCTCTGTCCCCAGCCCGGGGGATCGCCGAGTGCCAGAGGAGTTGAAATTTCAGCCGGCTGTAATCGGGAGATGGGAAAGTGGCCCCAGAGCAGCTCGTCTTTATTTTTAGCTCTGCCTCCCCCCGACAGCGTCACACCCCGGCACTGCCCGGGGCTGGACCCTGCTGGTGGTGGGACCCTGTGCCTGGGGGCTCACCAGGGGACCGGGCAGTTAGTGCCACCAGGCCCAGGGACCCGTGCTGGGGTTCAGGGAGTGCTGGGGTCACACCAGGCACTCCAGGTGGCCGTGCCAAGCTGAGCCTGCCACAGCCCCCATTAGCCCACTGGGGTGGCAAGTGGCCGCAGGGATGGGTCCCTGCCCATGGTGGAACATCTCCAGGATACCACGGGGCAATGGGACTCCAGCCCCACGGTGCCACAGGGTCTGTGTGCTCAGACATGTCCAGCCCAGGGTGCCCAGGTGACAAGGACAGGGGGGACATGTGGCCGATTCTCTCTCCACCTTCTCCCCCCGCAGGGATTTAGAATCAGTCCCCTCCATCCCCGGCGACCTGCCCTGGATCTGGTACTCCCCTGGGGACAGCTCGCTCCCTGATGGGCTTTCTGGCTTTTGATAATTATTTTTTTTTCCCTTTCTTCCAGAAAAACTAAAGCACCACAAAATCATCTTTGTGGTGGGTAAGTCTGTGTCTGGGTCCTGTCACTGGTGGGGTCGAGGTCCTGGCCCAGCCCTTGCCCCCTGCACCTCGGGTGGGGGCTGCGGGGAGCAGCCGGTGCCCAGGGCTGGGGAGCTGTCCCAGCTGCCAGTGGGGTGATGATGGCCAGGTGCCAACGGGACAGTGATGTCATGGGTGGGGTGATCTCCAGGGTGCCATTAGGCAGTAATGTCCTGGATGCTGATGGGGTCATCATACTCTGGCTGCTGTTGGGACAGTGGCATCTGGGTGCCAGTGGGTTGAGGGTGGTGTCCTGAGTGCCAATGGGGTGGTGATGCCCTGGGTGCCTGCATGCCAGTTGCCAGTAGCCCGTGCCACCCCCAAGCACTTGGCCTACCAGGAGCACTCCCCATCCATCTGGTGCTGGGCATGGGAACACCAACCTCCATCTCACCAGACTCTGGGGACTCCTGTGGGTCTGTGCTGCTGCTTCCACGTACCCCTCCAGCTCCTTACCCGTGGGTTGGGTCACACGTGGCCCTCGCGTGACTTGCAGGCGGCCCTGGCTCGGGGAAAGGGACCCAGTGTGAGAAGATCGTGCAGAAGTATGGCTACACCCACCTCTCCACGGGGGACCTGCTGCGGGCTGAGGTCAGCTCGGGCTCGGAGCGGGGCAAGAAGCTGCAGGCCATCATGGAGAAGGGCGAGCTGGTGCCCCTGGTGAGTCTGCACAGGCCACGGCGCATGGTGGGGCATGCAGGCTGTGGGGACACCAGTTACCACGGTGATGGTAGGCACATGGCCTGGGGGACACCTCCATCACTGCCACCCCAGGAGGAGGCTGGGGGTGCTGGCGGGGAGGGCATGTTGTCCCATGTCAGCCCTGGCAGCTCTGTCCTTTCCTCCCCAGGACACGGTGCTGGACATGCTGCGGGACGCCATGGTGGCCAAAGCAGACGTGTCCAAGGGCTTCCTCATCGATGGCTACCCCCGCGAGGTGAAGCAGGGAGAGGAGTTTGAGAAGAAGGTGAGAGCTCATGCTGAGCCATGCCATGCTGTGCCATGCCACCCACTGTCCAAGCAGAGGGTCTCCTGGTGCCAGCAGCAGCCCAGTCTCCCCGTCCCAGCAAAGATTCCATCCCAAGAGGGTCTAAACTGGGCATTGTCCCGGCCAGCAGGTCCTCTTCCTCGGGGACAGCCTGCACACAGGACACGGTGGGAGGGACATCTCTCAGGCTGACAGCAGGTGACCAGTGTTGGTGTGATGGTGATGGCAGAGAGCCAGCACTTGGCCAGTGTCCCTCTGCCTTCCTCTGCATGGATTTCATGTCCCAGCGGTCCCCAGACCCATGTGGAGGGAATCAGAGGAGGGCGTGGGGACATCTGTGACCCCATGCTCTCCACCACCATCTCCCCAAACCAAACCAAACCAAACCAGAGCAGTGCCAGCTCAGCATGGTGACAACCGTGTCCCCCCTGCCCACAGATCGGCCCCCCCACGCTGCTGCTGTACGTGGATGCGGGGAAGGACACGATGGTGAAACGCCTGCTGAAGCGGGGCGAGACCAGTGGGCGCGTGGATGACAACGAGGAGACCATCAAGAAGCGGTTAGAGACCTACTACAAGGCCACCGAGCCCGTCATTGCCTTCTACAAGAGCAGAGGCATCGTCCGCCAGGTGAGCAGGGCCGTGACCGACGCTGGCACCTCCCAGCCCCGCGGCTCGGGGTGCGCGTGGCCCCCAGGGTGGGTGAGAGAGGGGTGGGGGTGGTGAGGGAAGGGGGAACAACTCAGTCCTGGCTCGTTTGAGGTGGGCTTGACCCCTCTGGTTCCCAACACGGAGACCCCCTTTGAGCGTGACCCTAAATCAGCCCAA